CCCCCCCCCCCCTCCGCTCAACCACCCCTCATCCATACACGCAACCCCACTCCAAACAAACATACCACAACAACAAACCACAAGACGGTATCAACCTTACTTACCGCAGTTGGTCCATCTCGGATAGAACCGGAGAACTCGCGCCAGCCGTTCCCTTCTCCTTAACCCCTTCGCCGTCGGCGTTAGGAGCACCCCCCCCGGCGCTGCTCCCCCCATCGCGGCACCCCTTCGACTGGGCCGCGCCTGCGGCCTCCACAAAGGCAATGCCGAGCGACAAGGCGGCGTCTGGCGGGGGCGGGGGCGGGGGCAGCGACTTCCTATCCCCGGGGTCCGACGACTTGGACTGATTCATGGGGGGGCGGGGGGAGGGCGGGGGTTTGGCGGCCGTGTTAGGGGTCTGTGGCTTGTGCACGAGGTGACAACTACTGTACTGCTGTTGCGGAGAAGAGCAAGGGGCTGTTCGTTTCGGGGACCGAAGCTCAACAACACAAGGGCGAAGAGCAGCGATCGAGAAGCAACGCAGATGCGGGTGCTGGTGTTGGTTCTCCAGCGCTCGCTCACTGCACGGCATGATGTCATGCGTGGAGACGGACAGCATACACCTATATTTTATCGCGTGCGGCCAAACGTGTTTCGTCTGTCCCCCCGCCTCCCACAAGCTCTGCTATTATTTTGGAAATATGAATATATGAATATCACATTGGTCGGTGGGGCCTTCCGCCCCCCTCGCGAAACGAATTCCGGAGAACTGAATCTCACTTCTCCAGTCGTTGTAGGGAAACCATCTAGACGAATGCTGTGCTGATTGAAATGATGAAACACAAAAAAACGAAAAAAAAAATTAAGCCTTACCTCTACAACTCCGCTATCGCTATCGCTTCTTCCAGCACTGGCGGCAGCTCCGGCGGCGGCGGCGGCGGCGGCGGCATCCTGCTCCGGCATGATAAAGAGCGAGGCTACTCCGTGCCGCACGAGGAGAGGCAGAAGGCCCGTGTACTGCCCTCTCGTGATGCCGAGCTCCTGAAAGACGTGCGTGTGTCGGGCAACCAGCCCCAGACTCGACGCTCCGCTCCTGAACCCAACAGCAGCAGCAGCAACATCGACGGCGGCCGTAGAATCAGAGGCAGTAGCCATATACTCCGTGTACACCAAAATACAAGGGCTGTTTTGATTTCCCCCCTCTGGGGCTGCGGGGGTCGGTCTCGCGTTATACTCGTAGTTAAAGAATGGAAGGAAGCGTTTGAAGGTACAAGCTGTTGTAGTTGTTGAGTACACCGGCCAAGTGGTGTAAGTTGATCGAGGATCGGAGAGAAACTGCTGTATGAATACGCGGCTACGGTGCAGATCCAGGTACGAAGGTTCGCAGTCGGATATTGAAAAGAAGTGCGTCAGTCGCCGCTTGGGCATGTGGTGCGGGAAGTTGTTGCACAGGGCTGATCCCGGGGCACACATCCACACGAGACGGTGATTCTGCGTGTGTGTGGGTCAAAACTGTTTGTTCTGTGCTTAAGTCTGCCTGATGCTATGGTTATGTAGGACTACAGCAATGAATGCAGCAGCAGCATCAGATAGACGGCCTCGGAATCCAGCAAGCTGTGCCTGTTTGTATCTCCCAACTTTACGATATGTTTCCCGCTTGGCTCTACAGCAGCAGCAGTGTTACAGCAGTAGTCCATCACACACAACACACCGTGCATGGCTCAAAGTGCTTGTGTACCATCTCGTGAGTGCTGTACAAAAGGTAGACACATGCATACGGACGAGTATAATGTGTTTATGGAGGGGTGGGTACAGCTAGATACATCCTGGTACAGATTTCCTACACACGTAAGTTGAAGTTCGTTCCCAAGAATAATCGGATCGACAGAAAGAAAAAACACACTTGTAATGTACTTGGGGACGAAAGTATCAAGTCTCCGTGCGGGTAGCTGTCGTGGCTCACAGCAGTGCACACAGTGGGCGGGCTACGCGCGGGGCGCGCTGTGCGTATATCATTCCCTCCCTGGAGCTGCAGAGACGAAATAAGGTTTGACAGTTGTGGGAGGTAGACACGCCTGTCAGTTGTGAGCGACGTAGAGACATGCTCCTATGTACATATGCTAGGTTGTGACTTGCATCGTCATAACGACCACAGCCGACTATGACGTCATACACACCCGGGGAGCGAACCAGAGAGAACCAAAAAAGATTGATTTCCAAAACAACATCCCTAGCGGTCCAGCGCGGGTAGCTCTCGATACAGCTCACCGCATGATGCGATGCTCTCGGGTCGTGCCCGCTACACTACTCCCGTCCGGGAGCCGAAAGAACGACAGGAATCGGTGTAAACGTAGACTCCGAAAAGAAAAAAAAACGGAGGCACGAGAGAGAACAGGCCTGAAACGAAACGAGACCATGATAGATATTCTTGTCGCTCCAGCAGCAGCGGCAGCAGCAGCAGCAGCAGCAAAAGCTACGTCGAGTCCGATGATTGAACACACGCAGCAGCACCGGGGACAACGTCAACAAGGTAACATATCGGTAACCCACAACATACCTCGTGTGCACCAGCGCCGCCAAGCAGTGCACTGCGAGCACGGAGATGTCGAGCGGGACCGTCATCTGCGCCGCCTGGTCGGTCCTCACGCGGACCAGATCCACTAGCTCCTGGATAAGCTCCGGCTGGATGCTCAAGTACGCCATGAGGGCCTCTGCGACCGAAAGGCAGTCAGGGAGACAGAGACAGGAGACAGAGAAACAGCGAGACAAGACAGACACATGGATGAACAACACAAGTAGACTCAGTGGGCTTCAAAAAGGAATCGAATCGAATCCAACCGAACCACCCTCCCCCCCCCCCCCCCCCCCCCCCCCCCCCCCCCCCCCCCCCCCCCCCCCNNNNCCCGCAAACCCTTCTGTACCCTTCTGTACCCCCTCCGGCCCATACTCTTCCCCCCCTCTCCCACCAGCCTTCATCAACAATCGACCCTAGAACTTCGTCCCACTTTCCCTCGGAGCCCCGGCGCAAATATCCGTCGCCCAATCGGCTCTAGAACCCTACGGATCCCCTCCCCTACCTTGGGAAGGATGACAGTACACCAGCGCCGTCAGCGCCATGATCCTTCGCCGCACCGCGGCCCGCCGAGCCTCCACCCCCCCCCGCCACGCCACGGCGCTCCTGACCCTCGCCAGGAGGGAGAACAGCCGCCGCTTCGGGACGGCGGTGTGCTCCTTGGTTAATCGCCGGAACATGCCTTCCGAGGTGCTGTCTGTGTCTCCCGCTTCGCCTGCTGGTGGGCCTCCCACCCTCGCTGGCTGTGCAATCGTAGGCCAGCCATGCGAATGAAGTTTTCGACAGAAGAAAATTGGAGGTAGGGGGGGGGGGGGGGGGGGGGGGGGGGNGGGGATGGCGGTGGTCTCGGATTGGGTACATGAGACGACAGGATTAAAAGACGAAAAGACAAAACAGGAATTAATCGAACAGACAATAATATTAAAACGGGTCATATCGCTGATGTCTTCCCCACGATGAGTCAGATAGATTCATAGTAGCGCGAGTAGCGGGAGACGGATCTCTCTCTCGAAAGGCTCTTGCTCGCGTTACTCACGAGTCCTGGCGCTCAGGCTAACACGCGGCTTCTGCTGCTGGCGGTTAGATGTCTGCTACCGACGATCGCAGCAGCGCCGAATCGTTGGACAACGCAGCACCAAAACGGTGTAAATCATGCAAGAGAACAACCAGAGGAGCTACGAAACCGCACCAGCAAGGGGGAGGGAAGGGGAGAAGGGAGGTGGGAGAAGCGGGGCGGGAAAGCGCTTGATTCTCGCTGAGGCCAGTCATCAAACCAAAACGGTGGGAAGGTGAAAAAGAAAGAAAGAAGCAAACACCAACCACACAAGGAACAAGTACATCTATGCATCTGATGCGCCTCGTTAGCCTCTTCTCTCTTTCTCTCTGTCTCTTGTCTTTTCTCTTTCTCTGTCCTTCTTACCACGAAGGCACGCCACGTTAGTCTGTCCTCTCCCACCACAAACATACGCATCTTTACCAGTCTCTCACCACAGAGGTACGCCTATTTTGTCTCTCGCTACAAATACATGCCTCTTTTATCAGTCTCTCACCACAAATATCGTCCTGGAACGCGTGTACTCCCCGGGTGACGGTGCGCGGTTGCTCTCCTCCTCTTCCCCCCCCCCCTGCCCCCTGCCGGAGGGAGAAGACCCGTCATCAGCACCGTCAGCATCATCGTCAGCAGCAGCAGTTTCGTCCGTGCCCTGAGAAGGGACGTACTCGAAACGCAGGTCGCCCGCGCTGACGGGTAGGATGGGCATGGGTTTCGGCTTGGTCGTCGAAGCTGCTGCCGCTGCTGCTGCTGCTTCTGCTGCTGCTACTGCGGCGGCGGCAGCGGCATCTCTCTCATCCTGGACATCCAACACGACAACGGGAAGATGGAGAGGACGAGGGAAAGAGGGATGGGGGAGGGGCTGTCTCTTATACACATCTNGGGGTATGACGGACACCGTTTTCTTTACATGAGACATGAGATGCACGACAAACATGACCACAACAACAACATCGGCTAAAATAACGTCATGACAACAACAAGCATCAGCAATACAAAACAAAACAAAAAATACCACAACCCAGAAAAGTGACATGTCCACGGCTGAGAATCCTGAATTTGAACCACCACGGCGGGGGCGGAGGGGGAAGGGATTCATACCACGGTACCACTGGACAACTGGCTGGGTTATCTTCGCCTTATTTGCTGTTCCCGAAAGTAAAGAAGCACCCACAAACGCGAGCCTGTTGCAGCAAAGGGAGGACGGAGGCAACCATCTCTCGCAGCATCGAATCGCCCGCAAGAAAGAATGGCA